ACACTATCTTCATATTTTTGGATTCTTTTTTCTTTTTGCTTTTTCAGTTGGGTATTTTTTGTTTCTTCGTATTTCAAATCTTTGACTTGATCCTTGGGATTCTCTTGTCTGCTGTTGGATCTCTGTATATTATTCTTTATTTCAGTCAGTGTATGCTTAATTTCTGGTTGGTCTTTTTTTATATCCTCCAGGGTCTCACTAAATTTATCGGCGGTTTCTAGAAAATTCTTGAAAAACCTTATAACCGTGGTTTTGAACTCTATATCCAGTCGTTTGCTTTCCTCCATTTCTGTCATTTGTAATCTGTTTCTTTGTCTCTGCATTTTTTATGCTTCCCTGTGTTGGTAGAGTGGCTTTGTGTGCTAGGTGTCCTATAGGGCCCAGTGGCTCAGCCTCCCCAATTACCTGAGGTAGACACTCTTGGTGCACCCCCTTGAGGGCTTTGTGCACAGTCTTGTTGTAGTTAAGCCTTGATTATTGTAGTTATCACTGTGAGGAATTGACCTCCAAGCCAATTGGCTGTGAGAATCAGCTGTGTCTGCAGTGGGAGAACTTCTGTGCTGAAGACACCCTTATGGGGCAAGACTTGCTTCAGTGGGGCTTTGGTGCTCACTGAGTCTGCCCCCTGAGTGTGTCCCATCAGGCCTCCAAGACCCCTCCTTCGACCCGAACTCCCAGTACCGCTGGCCTGAATAAAGGTCCCCAGCCTGACCCCATCCCGGGAAGCCGGTCAGGAGGGGGAAATTCCACCGGCTCCAGCAAGGTGTCCACTAAGGATCCAAGCCAGTCCCTGAAAGGGCGAGGACTACGCCCTCCACCTTGCCCCAGGATAAGGGCTACGCCCTCCACCTTGCCCCAGGGTAAGGGCTATGCCCTCCATCTTAACTTGGCCATGTGCTCAGCAAGCTTCTTCCCGGAAGATAGTCAAGGGAAGTGCACGCCATCACTATGACCACATCCTGTGTAATGAGACACCGACTCGCGCCTGGCCAATCGGCAGGGCCCACAGTCTTTTCTCCTCCCCTTACCCCAACCCCCTATAAAAGCTCTCTCCACACAGAGTTCTCTCTCTCGGCCACTGGAGCTTACCTTTGCATCGGTGAGTGTGGCAGGGGAGCCAAACCTAGGTTTGAAATGAATGACTCTTTGCTTTTGCATCGGACTCGCTGGCTCCCTGTGGGTTCTTGGGAATCATGAAATCTGGGCACAACATCCCCACCTCCATCAACCACCCCATACCAGGCCCCAACGGCACACCAAGGACTCCTAGGGCCCTGAACAATGTTCCAGTTCCTCAACAAGACCTTCCCGAACCTAACAGCAGACTGCTGGCTCTGCCTCAACCCTGAGCCGCCCTACTATGTTGGTTTCGGGGCAAATGCCTCCATTGGGGGCTGTTGGGGTCCACCCCCAGCAGGTCCAGGGGTTCCCAAAGGTGTGGACGGAGTCGGCGAAGAAGGAATGACACGGAGACAGCATTCAGTTGATCAGCAGCCTAGCCAGGTTCTCTAACCAGGTTCTCCAGCCAGGTTAGGTCGTTATTTTTTGTTTGTTTGTTTGTTTGTTTGTTTGTTTTAAGAACCCAACTGGATTTTATTTGACACGGAACACGATAGGACTGCAGGAATAGCAAACTGAAAAGACAAAGTGGAAAAGACCCAGTTCTATCTAACTTACAATGAAGTAACAGGAGGGCAATTCATTAAATGAATAACAAAACAGTTGAGCTTGATGGCAAATATTCTTTATCTAGTGCCCATCCTTTTGGGATTCCCACTCTCCATTGTCCAGCGGACACACGGGCCGTGTTTTGAGCCAACGAGAGATGCAGTGGAAGTGAAAAGCATGATTACAAAATCCCCTCCCAATGGTGCACTCTTCATAAGTGGCAGATACCAGGCCCGCCTGACATTCTATGCAAAAATCCATAACCTGGTTCCTGCAGATGGCACAGTTATCAACCACAATGATGTCCCAGGCCCAGAGGGCTAGTGGGTTCCACTTTTCCACTTCAAAGCTCTTCTTGCCCTCGCCGCTGTTGGTGCTGCTGGGGGTATCCACATCCATCGCTGCCGCCATTTTGGAAACACATGGTCTCAGGTTAGGTCTTTGTTGCCCTGTTACATCTGTATTTATACCAGTTGATTTTAATCCTATCCATTCTATTCCAAAGGTTAGGGCGTTTGTTAATCTAGTTCTGTTGTGTTTAATCCTATCCATTCTATTCCAAAGGTTAGGGCGTTTGTTAATCTAGTTCTGTTGTGTTTAATCCTGTCTAGGTTAATCTCTGTGTTCCATTATAAGGGCTCTTCCAAGATCACTGCTCTACTGATAAGCTACAAGGAAGTGACTGAAGGAGATTATTTTACCCATTAAAGGTTATGTCCTCCCAGCCTCGCTGCTTGCCTTCCCTGGGACTGCCCTGTGTCCGTGGGTCTCCAGGGGTATAGGCTTTGGTGCTTTCCCTGGTGGGCAGACCCCTGGGGATGTGGGCCCAACAAGTCCCAAATTTATGTGGGCCAACAGTCTTAGTCCAAGTTCTTCATAAGTAGTACATGGTATTTCTGTAATACTAGCGGGTTTCACTGATTTATGCTCTTCCTTAGTCCTGTTAGTCCCTAACTCCAGGGAAAAAATCCTCACCTGGGGAACAACCTTTCTAAGGATAGGTGGTCTAGTTTAAAACACACAGCGCTAAGAGGGGGAGCAGCAAACATATTAAGAGCAGTATGCAATATACGCCAGGTCCCTTGAAACATATGCTGTGCAGATGTTTCTTCCCTGCAGCGACTGTGTCAAGCAGCAAGGATGGACCGGCTTCTGGCAAGGAAAGTTGGCTGCAGGCGGTCACATGTGGCATCGACAGATTCCCGGCTCCCTTCTCCTGAGGCGTCCCTGAAGCCGTTCATTCCTTGGCCTGCTGTCAACCTGGCCAGCCCAGATCCGGGCGGGGGCGGGGGGGGGGGGGGTTCCCCGGATGTGCCCCTGGGTGACACTCAAATGTTGCAGCACTTTCCGCCCGGGCATCAGAGAGTGCATGCTCATTTGAGAACCACAGGCTGAGCCGTGGTGGCCCCCGGGCCCTGGGTTTCGCACACCTCCCAGAGGCCACAGCGGGCAGGGTCCTCCCGGCCCATCAGCAGAAGCTCTGTCTCCGCCGGTGGAACTCAAACAGTGGCAGCACTTTGCTCTCAGCACAGAAAGTGCCCCCACAGTTTGAGTCCCACAGGCCGAGGACTCTGGACGCCAGCGCCGACCGACCCAGGGCCTGGCCCAGGATGACCCTCCGGGAACCCAAACACCTGGTCCTGGGAAGTGGGGAGCAAGAGGCCAAAGTGACACCAACAGAGTCGTGGGGACTGGATCTCCTCCACTGTCTGTGGATTTTAGGGTGATTTCCCCAAACCTGAGGCTTTCAGAGCTTATTTATAGGCTGATGACAGCTTTGGCTTGGTGGCCCAGGGTTTAGCCTAAGTGGGCCCATGTGGAGTCTGTTCTATTCCCCCCCCACCCCCCGTTTTTGTTTTTTTTTACTTCTTCCACCTTTAAAGGCTCTGGAAAAATTCAGGGCTTCAGAAGTTCCTTGTATGCCGGCTCCTCAGATGTAGGGGGGACAAGGGTTCCCATTCCAAGGAGCCCGTGGGCCGAGGCACCCACCCCACCCACAGGGGTGCTGGGTCCCAGGGCCCAGGCAGGAGGGCGGGCAGACACGTGGTGCCTGGGGCTGGTGCCCGAGGTCCATGAGGAAGGACACATGGGGTGAAGCCAGGAGCCTGGGACCAGGGGGTTGGATGAAGAGAGCCCGGTGAGATTCCAAAGCCCTTCAGCCCCATGGGACGGAAGCCTTGGGAAAGGGAAGAAAAAGTGCTGCTGTGGCAGCCGATCCCCGATTCTCATCCTTGAGTTTTGTGCCTCTACCTCTTCCTTAAAGGCGAGGGGGCTGGGGGTGGGGGTGGATTGAGGCCGTGGGGAAATCCTGGCGATACTCACCGATGTGGAGCGGGCCATGAGGCAACTTCTCTTCCCAAGAGGTGGCAGGTGTGCATTTGGCCTTCAATAAGGAGACACACCCATCAACGCCCCCTCCCAACTCTCCGGGCAAGACCACTCCCCTCTCCCACCCGTCTCCGCCCAGAGAAACCTTGATGGGTTTCCTCCTACAGCCCCCACATTGGGGATCGAACCCTCAACCCTGGCAGGTGCCCTTGACCTGAATGGAACCGGGGAGGGACCCTTCAGTGCACAGGCTGGCGCTCCATCCACAGGGCCAAACTGGCCAGGGCCATCGCTTGATTCTTGTCCTGGCCCTGACCGGGCATCCAACCCACCACCTGGCGTGTCAGGACGACACTGTAAGCAGCTGGGCGAGGCGGCCGGGACTGAACAGGGAAGGGCGTCCACAGGGGAGGCGAGACGCAGGATAGACCTGATGTGCGACCGCAGGCTCCGTTGTGCCCGCAGGTTGTTGGGCGTGCACCTGAGCACAGTCACCCCCAGAGAGCTGGCCGCCCTCCGCGGAACCAAGCCTTCCCTGGCCATCGGCTGCTGAGCGCCCCTGCCCCTGCCTCTGCTGCAGGAAAGGCAGTCCATGCATCCGGCCGCTCTCGTCCAAATGGCCAGACTCTGTGTGTCTGTGGGTCCACAACACACACCCCCTCGGGCAGAAGCTGAGGGTTCTGCTTGGAGGGGAGTGCGCGGTCTTTGTGTCCTGCGACATGGAGCTCTAGGTTTGGGGATGTGGGTGCCATGAGGGAAAGGAGGGCGGCAGGGGCTCCCCACGCAGGGGGATGTCGCCCCACCCCCACCCCGGGGGACACTTGGCAAGGCCAGGAGACCTGGGGTGTTGGGGAGCTACCGGCCTCCAGGGAATAGAGAGAAACCAGGCGTTGCACTAACACCGACACCCCACCAACAGCACCCCCCTGCCCCACCCACTATGGAACTGAAGGTGGAAAGGTGCTGCCCGGCCGGGGGTCTCGGTTGGTTGAGCCTGTTCCTCCCTCCCCCCCCAAAAAGGTTTGGGGCCTGATTCCAAGTCAGAGTGCAGACCTAGGTTTGGGGTATCATTCCTGAGTCGGGGTGAGCACTGGAGGCAACTGGTGGCTGTTTCCCTGTCAAACTAGTGGGAATGGTCTTGGGGGGCCTGGCCGGGGTGGCTCAGTGGTTGAGCATCAGCCTCCTCCTCTCCCACCACCCCCCCCCTCCCGGGAGGTGACCCGCAACATAGATGGGACAGTCATTGGGAGAAACAGCACCGCGGGCGCCCCACGTATAACCACGGATCTCTGCCGATTCTTTGGGGGATACCCCACCCGAGATGGACTATCCATAGGAAAAAGTACTCACATGCACACCAAAGTTAAGACATTCCGTTCTAGCTGGTTTGGCTCAGTGGATAGAGCATTGGCCTGCAGACTGAAAGGTCCCAGGTTTGATTCCGGTCAAGGGCCTATGGCCAGGTTGCAGGCTCAAGCCCCGGTAAGGGGTGTGCAGGAGGCAGCTGATCAATGATTCTATCTCATCATTGATGTTTCTATCTCTCTCTGTCCCCCTCCCTCTCTGAAATCAATAAAAACATATTTAAAAAAGAAAAGACATTCCGCTGTGGGTGGAAGGTATGGGAGGAAGAACTATGGCACACTCAGCATTATGTCTGCTGCTGGGAAGGGCCCCCTGAATGTGGAGGAGAAGGGGATGTTTATTGTGCATCTTGGGGATGTGAGACAATAGCCCCCTGGAAAACTACGGACTCATTACTCCTGTTGACTGGGGTAGTATGCCCAGGGGCACCAAAGGGTTGCTCAAGTGGGGACTGCAACCCAGTAATCCTCCAACCCTCAAACTGGTGGGCAGACTACTGGGCAGGGGGAAGACTTGGGGCCTGCGGCTGTATGTCTCGGGGCAAGACCCGGGAGCACTGTTCACCATCCAGCATCACATGGTCCCGATGGAACGCAATCCCATCGGGCCTCCATGACCCCTCCTTCCACCCGAACTCCCAGCACCACTGGCCAAGAATAAAGGTCCCCAGCCTGACCCTATCCTGGGAAGCCAGTCGGGAGGGGGAAATTCCACCGGCTCCGGCAAGGTGTCCACTAAGGATCCAAGCCAGTCCCCACCTCCAGCAACCACCCCATACCAGGCCCCAACGGCACACCAAGGACTCCTAGGGGCCCTGAACACAATGTTCCAGTTCCTCAACAAGACCTTCCCAAACCTAACAGCAGACTGCTGGCTCTGCCTCAAACCTGAGCCGCCCTACTATGTTGGTTTCGGGTCAAATATCTCCACTGGGGGCTGTTGGGGTCCACCCCCAGCAGGTCCAGGGGTTCCCAAAGGTATGGACGGAGTCGGCGAAGAAGGAATGACACGGAGACAGCGTTCAGTTGATCAGCAGCCTAGCCAGGTCCTCTAACCAGGTTCTCTGGCCAGGTTAGGTCTTTTTCTTTTGTTTGTTTGTTTTTTAAGAAGCCAACTGGATTTTATTTGACCCGGAACACGATAGGACTGCAGGAATAGCAAACTGCAAAGACAAAGCGGAAAAGACCCAGTCCTATCTAACTTACAATGAAGTAACAGGAGGGTAAGTCATTAAACGAATAACAAAACAGTTGAGCTTGATGGAGAATATTCTTTTTCTATTGCCCGTACTTTTGGAAAACCCACTCGCTGCTGTCCAGCGGACACACGGGCCGTGTTTTGAGCCAGCGAGAGATGCAGTGCAAGTGAAAAGCATGATTACAGACTCCCCACGCAACGGTGCACTCTTCGGAAGTGGCAGAGGCCTGGTTCGCCTGACATTCTATGCAAAGATCCATAGTGTGGTTCCTGCAGATGGCACAGTTATCAACATCAAGGTCCCAGGTCCAGAGGGCTACTGCTTTCCAGTTTTTCACTTCAAAGCGCTTCTTGCCCTCACCGCTGTTGCCGCTGCTGTTGGTGCTGCTGGGGGTATCCGCGCCGCTGTTGCTGTCGCTGTTGGTGCCGCTGTTGGTGCTGCTGGGGGTATCCGCATCCTTCGCTGCCGCCATTTTGGAAACACTCGGTCTCAGGTCAGGTCTTGATTGTCTTGTTACATCTGTATTTATACCAGTTGGTTTTAATCCTATCCATTCTATTCCAAAGGTTAGGGCGTTTGTTAATCTAGTTCTGTTGAGTTTAACCCCTCTAGGTTAATCTCTACAAGGTAGTGACTGAAGGAGATTATTTTACCCATTAAAGGTTATGTCCTCCCAGCCTCGCTGCTTGCCTTCCCTGGGACGGCCCTGTGTCCGTGGGTCTCCAGGGATATAGGCTTTGGTGCTTTCCCTGGTGGGCAGACCCCTGGGGATGTGGGCCCAACAAGTCCCAAATTTATGTGGGCCAACAGTCTTAGTCCAAGTTCTTCATAAGTAGTACATGGTATTTCTGTAACACTAGCGGGTTTCACTGATTTATTCTCTTCCTTAGTCCTGTTAGTCCCTAACTTCATGGAAAAAATCCTCACCTGGGGAACAACCTTACTCAGGATAGGTGGTCTTGTTTAAAACACATAGTGCTAAGAGGGGGAGCAGCAAAGATATTAAGAACAGTATGTCATATACGCCAGGTCCCTTGAAACATATGCTGTGCAGATGTTTCTTCCCTGCAGCAACTGTGTCAAGCAGCAAGGATGGACCGGCTTCCGGCAAGGAAAGTTGGCTGCACTCGGTCAATGTGGCATGGACAGCTTCCCGGTTCCCTTCCCCTGAGGCGTCCCTGATGCCATTCATTCCTTGGCTGGCAGTCAACCTGACCAGCCCAGATCTGGGCAGGGGCGGGGGGGTTCCCTGGATGTGTCCTCTGGTGACACTCAAATGTTGCAGCACTTTCCGCCCGGGCATCGGAGGGTGCCTGCTCATTGAGTGCCACAGGCTGAGCCGTGGTGTCCCTGGGGCCCTGGCCAGGCGACCCGGGCCTCGCACACCTCCCGGAGGCCACAGCGGGCAGGGTCCTCCCGGCCCATCAGCAGAAGCTCTGCCTCGGTTGGTGGAGCTCAAACAGTGGCGGCACTTTGCTCTCAGAACAGAAAGTGCCCCCAGAGTTTGAGTCCCACAGGCCAAGGACTCTGGACGCCAGCGCTGACTGGACCGCCTGAGGGCCTGGCCCAGGATGACCCGCCAGGAATGCAAACACCACGTCCCCAGAGGTGGGAAGCAAGAGTCCAAAATGACATCAATAGAGTCGTGGGCACTGGATCTCCTCCACTGTCTGTGGATTTTAAGGTGATTTCCCCAAACCTGAGGCTTTCAAAACCTTAGGGGGTGACTACAGCTTTGGCTTGGTGGCCCAGGGTGTAGCCTCAGTGGGCCCATGTGGAGTCCATTTCACTTCCCCCTTCTTTTTCATTTCTACCCTCTTAAAAGGCACTGGAAAATGTCAGGGCTTCACAAATTCCTTGCATCCCAGCTCATTGGTTGTAGGGGGGACAAGGGTTCCCACTCCAAGGAGCCCATGGGCCGAGGCACCCACCCCACCCACAGGGGTGCTGGGTCCCAGGGCCCAGGCAGGAGGGCGGGCAGACACGTGGTGCCTGGGGCCGGTGCCCGAGGTCCATTAGGAAGGACACATGGGGTGAAACCAGTACCCGGGGACCAGGGGGTTGGATAAAGAGAGCCCAGTGGGTTTCCAAAGCCCTTCAGCCCCATGGGACGGAAGCCTTGAGAAAGGGAAGAAAAAGTGCTGCTGTGGCAGCCGATCCCGGATTCTCATCCTGGCTTTTTCTTCCTCTATTTCCACCTGAAGGCTGCCCGGGGCGGGAGGGAGGGGAAAGGTTGAGGATGTGGGGAAGTCCCGGCGATACTCACCGATCAGGAACAGATCAGGAGCGCGCAGTATGGCGGCTTCTCTTCTCAAGACTTAGAAGGTGTAGGATTGGCCCTTAAATAAGGTGACAAATCCAATCAACGCCCTCACCCAACTCCTGGGGCAAGACCACTCCCCTCCACCTCCCGTCCCCGCCCAGACCCTCCTTACCCCTGGGTTGGAGCTCCTCTTGATCAGATAAAGTCTCGCGGAATCTTTAATCTCTATCACTTAGAAAGTTTAACTCTTTTAAAGATTATAATGTTAAAAAGAAATCGGAAGTATCTAGAGGGGTCCCATCCGAAGAGACAGAAGGAGAGGGGTGGGTGGCAGAGGCTGGCAGGACAGGGACCGGGGAGTTTATGTTCCGTGGAGACAGAGTCTGGGTTTTGCAAGGCGAGAAGAATTCCCAAGCGTGAGGGCACCGCAGCGGGCAGACGCGTCACACCACCCAACAGGACCTTTTCCCAAGGTTCAGGTGGAAACTGTCACATCACGTGTATTTTGCTCCAATTAAAGAAGCATCTTGGAGGGTGCCTTGAGGGCAAACACAGCAGCCTCCTTCCCATAATGTTAACGTAAAAAACCCGTTGAAACCTGTGAAGAATTTCTGTGAGTTTATTTGAGCCAAACTGTCAACATATGCCGGGAAGCAGAACCTCAAGGACTTGAGATAATGCTCTGGAGAATGGCAGGCTACTGTTGTAATGTACCCCGCGAATCACAGAAGGACGCCTCAAGAAGTCGAATTAAAGAGTCACATTTATTGCAATCCGGGACTATGAGGGGGAATTCCCAAATCTCATAGCCCCAAGATGGTGGCAAAACCAGACTTATGTAGGCAAAGATCACAAAGGTATTGATTACATCCCAGGGTTTGGAATGTGGCACCTGGCTCGCCAAAAAGCAGATTACAGAAGCAGAATTAAGCATGTTCATTACAGTTTCGGGTCTCGGGGTCACTGAATTGACAGAAATACATTAGCTAGAGCCCTTGGGTAACCTGGGTTAAACTTAGGCATGTTATCTCAATTACAGTTTTGCGTCTCCGGATCACTGAGTTGATAGAAACACATTATCTAGAGCCCTCGGGTCTCCCGACCACTGAGTTGTCAGGACAATTTAGAGTAATTGTGCTGTCCTGGTCTCGGGACCACTGAGGCAGCTGGAACGCACCACCTGTGGCCACTAAAACAATTTAGGGTAACTGTGCTGTCCTGTTTCCAGGTACAGAAGAATGTGCTCTCTAAGACCAGTATGATAACAATCAATGGGATAGTCATTCAATCGATAAGGCGTTCAATCGAATGGGATGACTTATACAATTTAGGAAATCAAAGTAACCTGTCCATTGTTAAACAAAGCAAATAGGTACCCTACTTTAGTTACAACTGTATTTATGCATTGCAATCAAAGGCAAGGGATGCAGGTGGGTTACACGAGAGCCATTGGTGATAGACTAGAGCAGTGGTTCTCAACCTTGGCTGCACGTTAGAATCACCTGGGCATCTTTTTAAAATCCTGATTTCTGGGCCTCCTCCTCTGGAAATTCTGTGTCTTTGTGATGGGGTGGGGCCACAGCATTAGTAACAAACACACAGAATTTCTGGAGGATGAGGCCCAGAAATCAGGATTTTAAAAAGATGCCCAGGTGATTCTAACGTGCAGCCAAGGTTGAGAACCGCTGGACTAGAGAGGTGGGAGAAAGCAAAGGGGGGGGGGGACCCCCTGGGATCGGATAAAAAGTAAAATGATGGCCCTGACCAGTTTGGCTCAGTGGATGGAGCGTCGGCCTGCAGACTGAAAGGTCCCGGATTCGATTCCGGTCAAGGGCATGTACCTGGGTTGCGGGCACATCCTCAGTAGGGAGTGTGCAGGAGGCAGCTGATCAATGTTTCTCTCTCATCGATGTTTCTAACTCTCTATCCTTCTCCCTTCCTCTCTGTAAAAAAAAATCAATAAAATATATTTAAAAAAAAAAAGTAAAATGACGGACACTCACTTAGGTGGGTGCAGGAACAATTAACATGATCATGAAGGAATCCGTGGTCTCTGTCCTGGGACCCAGCACATTTGGTTGTGCCCCAAGGGGTCCAGAAAAGGGGAAGTTACAAGTCACCCAGACATTTCACAGGGATGTTATCAGAGATGCAAAAAGACAGACAGGCTCAGTGAAGGTAAAGGTTGACCTTGTCAGTGAAGATACTGGCCCAGGACGTAACTGCCCACCATCACTGCTTTTAGTTAAAGTTTAATTTCAGACCATCCTTTGTGGTGACTTTAGGTCTCCGAGTTTGCAAGACCGCCATGCAGGCCTCCCCTGGGCTTATCAGGGTAGCGTGTGGTCCACAATAGCATCGCAGTAGATTCCACCTCAACTGGCCTGCCTGCTCGCCTGCCCTGCCCAGCCAGGGGTTGGGGCGGGGGGGGGAGGGGGGGGGCGGGAAAGGGTGGGGGGACATTTAGGCTTTTCCAGTTCCGAGGTAGAGATTTTATCTTTATTGGCTCCAGCTCCGCGGCTTCCACTCAAACTCCCTGACCCATCAGGAGCAGGGTCTGCCCCAGCCGTCCGCCATCTGTCCATCCGGTAAGTCCGGGTACCTGACCCTCCTCAGTAGGAGACAGGTCGCGTGGGTTCGGACATCCTAGAGGCGTGGGGGACCCAAGCGGGCAGCTGTTTGCTCTGCCCGGCTCCATTTCCAGGCTGGAAAAGACCCATTTTCCAGATGAAAGCGGGAGCTGGGAGCCGTGTGAGTGAGAAAGTAGGGGTGGGTTGGAGGTCTGTCCACAGGCTCTGAGGCTGGTGTTTTTTTGGTTTTTAATTTAATTTTATTTTTTAAAAAAATATATTTTATTGATTTTTTACAGAGAGGAAGGGAGAGGGATAGAGAGTTAGAAACATTGATGAGAGAGAAACATCGATCAGCTGCCTCCTGCACGCTCCCCACTGGAGATATGCCTGCAACCCAGGCACATGCCCTTGACCGGAATCGAACCTGGGACCCTTCAGTCCGCAGGCCGACGCTCTCTCCACTGAGCCAAACCGGCCAGGGCAATAAAAATATTTTTTTAAAAAGAAAATGTGGTGTATTCATACAATAGAGTCTTTAAAATATTTTTTAAAATATTTTTTATTTATTTTACAGAGAGAATCTCTTCCTCCCCCCACTCCCCACCCCCATACATTTTTAATTGATTTCAGAGAGGAAGAGAGATGGAAACATCAATGATGAGAGAGAATCACTGATTGGCTGCCTCCTGCACATCCCACACGGGGGATGGAGCCCGCAGCCCAGGCACGTGCCCTTGTCTGGAATCGAACCTGGGACCCTTCAGTCCCCAAACTGATGCTTTAACCACTGGGCCACACCAGCCAGGGCTCTCCTTCCTTTTTAAGGCTGAGTAAGATTCCTCTGTTTGGCTGGACCTTGTCTTTCTCCCTCGATGGGCCTGGGGTGGCTCCCACTTTCTGACTTTTGTGAATAACGCTGCTGTAGACACGGGTGTCCAAGTGCCTCCTGGAGACCCTGCTCCCCATTCATTTGGGCCTACACCCAGGAGTGGAACTGCTGGGTGACATGATCCTACGACTTTTAAATGCGTGAACCCGTCTCATCGGAGACCCTGCAAGTGGGGGCTGTATAACACGGGACCTCGCTCTCTCCCTCTTATCAGGGATAACGAAATACCCCCCCGCTCCCCGTCCTTCTTAATTCTGCTGGCTGGACGATTGCCAGGAGAAAGTCAAGTTTTTTGTTGTTGTTTTTGTGTGTATTTTTTTAAAATATGTTTCCATTGATTTTTAGAAAGAGAGAGGAAGGGAGAGGGACAGAGAGATCGAAACATCGACCGGCTGCCTCCTGCACGCCGCCCACAGGGGATGGAGCCCGCATCCCAGGCCTGTGCCCTGTCCTGGAATCGAACCGTGACCTCCTGGTTCCTGGGCTGATGCTCAACCACTGAGCCACACGGGCCGGGTGAGAAAACCGAGTTTTTATACTTGTTTTGTGCCCGGGGGGGATTCACATAAGCCTGAAGATTCCCAAAACAGGAAGGCCATACACCTTTCCGGACCAAGGAGGGGGAGGCAGGGGCCTGGGACTTCAAAGGGCTGTGAGGCCGGTTACAGGGGATGAAGAGCTAACCTTTGTCAACCCTTTGCTGGGCCACCTTAGAACAAAGAGACCAAGAGGACTTTGAGCAAAGGTTCCTGCCTGTCACACAGGAGTTTATACTAAACTACCCTTATCTATGGGGACATCTCCCTCTGGGAGGAGCAGGTCCTCTATCTTACACGCTTTCAGGCAGTAAGTGGGAAAGGGCAAAGGTTATCCCCCAGCCTCTGGGCCTTACATACTCTGCATACCGCCCTGACCCGTGTGCCCAGTGGTTTGAGCGTCGGCCCACCTACCGAAGGGTCGCGGGTTCGATTCCCAGTCAAGGGCCCTACCCCCCCCCCCCCCCCCCCCCCCCCCCGTCCTGGTAGGGGTGTGTGTAGGGGGCAACCAATCGAAGTGTCTCTCTCACCTAGATGTTTTTCTCTCCTCTGTCTCTCTCCCCCTCCCTCCCTCTCTGAAAACACAATGGAGAAAATATCCTGGGGTGAGGACTAACCTTCGAAAAAAAGAGAAAATTCGGCAAATCACCGGACATGGCTGGGGGTGACTCATTCTGAACCACCACACACTCTCAACTTTCCAGTGCACACATGGCCGGAGGCAGGCCCTTGGCCAGGTCCAACCGGAAGGAGAAGGGGAGGTTCAAGTCTCTGACCCATGTTCCTTCACACATCAAAAGCTTTGCACAGCCGAAGCCGGTTTGGCTCAGTGGATGGAGCGCCGGC